AGAGAGAGAGAGAGGAGGATGCTGCCTAGTGGCCTAGTGCGTGGCTATGGATTCGATGGAGCGCTGTGACCTGCACGTAGGTAGGTAGCGTGGAGACAAGAACCGTGTATCGCAATGTATCGCGGTGGTGGCGACGACGGCGGCGGCAGCGGCGGCGGTGGTAACTGTGGAGGGGTGGCCGGTCGGGATGGAGGGGCGAGGTAGGTAGGAGGGAGGTTCGTTCCTTCGCTCCATCCCGAGCGGGGGATGAAAGAGAGGGTAGATCGGACGTTTGGGAGACCGAGGGCGCGCAAAGCGCCCCGGCTCGGGCCTTGGAAACGGCTGTTCCTCTTCCACCGCCACTCTTCGCTATTGTTTTAGCCCGCACCGCGCGCTTTTTAATTATCATTTTTCTTCCCTTTCTCTTCCTTCCTTCCTTCCTTCCTTTCTTTCTTGCTTTCTTGCTTTCTCATTTCTATCTCGCTTCTCGTCTCGCGATTTTCGCCTACAAACAAATTTCCCGGAAATTATCGGCCGCCCCTATTGTTTGCGTATTCGTTGGAATTGCGTTAACAATCGCGGAAACGAGAGGAATGCTTGATCGATGCTTTTATTCTCTCTCTCTCTCTCTCTCTCTCTCTCTTTCTCTCTGTCTCTCTTCTTCGGAAGGAAATCTTTAATCGGGGGAGGGGAGAGAATGGGAAACGGGCGATTATAGGGGAGAGAATAGGGGGTTTTGTTAGAGGTGGAGGATTTCGAAGATTTCTTTTTTTTTCTTTTTTTCACGAACGATCGTGCGAAAAAATATTTATTCGAAAAGTGAATAAAAAAAAAGGTTGGAAATATAAAGCGGCGCGTTATTCGAGATTCGAGACGGTGTCATTTCACCCCCGATAAATGCTCCTCCTATTTCTCTTTATTTGCATCGAGGTTGCATAACTTTGAGTTACATTCGGATTTCTGGTAATACCTCCATCATGCCAAGTCTACCGATATATTTACGTAATACATCACGACTCATCCATGTTTTATAAAATGTCACCTACATATGCAGCAATAGGATTTATACACGTTACGATGTCATTTGCAGTAAAATATACACAATATGCGTGTATATGTATATATATATATTGAACGGATGGAAAAGAATGAACGTTCAATATTTTTTATCGTCATTTCCCATCGAGATATTTTCAAAGCTCATTCCATATTATTTATTTAAATCTCGCAACGATCGAATTTTTATTTTAATCTTATTTAACACTCGAGCGTGAAATTTATTCGACGAAATCGCCGGAAAAATTAATCGGCTTCGGCCCGTCACGTACTTCTAAACTTTATAGAAATTTAAAATTCTAATCCCTGCGCGGAAAATTAAAAAAGAAGAAAGAGAGAGAGAGAGAGAGAGAGAGCGAGAAGAGTGGGGAGAGGGGAAGAGAGGGGAAGAAAAAGGAAGGAAGGAAGGAAGGAAGGATCTTTTACTCTTGGACGAAGCAAATTAATTCGTTCTTTCCTGTCTTCGTTAGTTGACTACGAGGCGGGAATAACCAAAGACCTGCGGTTAGCGAAGCATCGATCGGCACCCGTCATTTTTGTCCACTTTGTCACGTGTGTTAATTAAAAATTGCTCGTGGTCATTGTCGTGGAAGAAATCACGCGCGTCCCCTGTAATTAAATCCTCGATGAATTCTCGTCAATCGACCATCGAGCAATCATCGACGCCCAACCCGTTCACAGGCACGCGCGCACACACGCCCACTATGATTCCAACATTTCGTATTTTCAATCGAGCTAGAGGGAGCCGCGACTTTATTAATTATGCCCCGCCTCGTTGTTAAATCGACGCTTTCACGACTATGCCAATTGCCTCGCGTATAATAATAATGATATACGTTAGATGAAAACGGGAATTTTTCCTTCCATTTTATTCGACGATTAACAGCGGGAAACGATTGAGCGAAAATGGAAATAAAATTTTCATGTTATTAACGGGGGAACGGGAGAGGGTAGAATTTTCCGGCGTGACACGTTTACCATCCAATTATAATGAAAAATATATTCCGTTGTAATATCTCTTGCTCTGTAGTAATCAAGTTACTACAATATTTAATCAAGAGTTTCGCACAATATATACGAAAGCTGATATCGCAATTTCTGACACAGAATTATTATATCATCCATTTGCTTCTGTATCTCGCGTAAATTTCTAAGTTGCACAGTTTCCACGTTACGTTATATAAACCGAGAGTTTCCTCTTCTTAAACCTATAAATGCTTTACGATCGCGACCTCGCACGTTTACCACACACGTACCACACTGTGTACCAACGAGCCTCCACGTAACGCTTCACAATGCTCTTGCATCGATCTCCAAGATTTTAACGCTCTATATCGCGGATCGCTCGTATTATCGCTCCTATTATTTATCCCCCCACAATTTTTGAACGTGTACAAAGTAACTATAAGAAAACTATAAAACCTCTCGTCTCTCTCTCTCTCTCTCTTTCTCTCCTCCTCGAAGATGTCAAGGAAACTCGTTCAAAGGAAACGGCAGAGTTTCGTCGAGCAGAAGCGACGCGATATTCGACCTTCGACCGTCTTTACGTTTCGACGAGTCGCCCCGATATTTCCCGCAGGGCGAACTGCAGAGCGCGGCAACCACGACAACCACCGACCCCGCACTTTGCGTCCGCTAAATTTCGTATTTTCACGGCTAATGACCGAGGAACGAGACGG